GAAAATCCCATTAAACTCCTCAGGAGGCCAGAGAGTAGGGAGAGGGAAAGAATCTAATTTTAGAAAAAGGATCCTGGCTAGTGGGGTGGGGAAACGTTGAAGGGACTACTGATTCACGTCAGAAGGAAAAACAGACCCACCAGCTGCCACAGACATGCCTGGACTGCAGCCTCCATCCAGTCCAGAAAGGGTTAAGCATCACTCCAGAAAAGAGTGCTTAGCATCCTTGCTGTGTCTGTCTCCTCCTGGCCCAAGCCCTCCTCCATCAGGATGCCTTAGGGAATGCCCTACAGAGGGAATGAGTAAATGAGGATGTGCACAAGAATCCAGAAGTGGGACAGGACTGTGAGAGTTGTGTGCACGGGTTGCATATGTCTACACTGTCGCGGCAAACAAGGCTCAAGGCAAATGGTGTACCAGACACTAAGCATAAGCACCCTGGGGTTGAAGTGAGGGGGCACTGTCTAATCAAAGCCTTAAGCTCAAAGCAAGAAGTCTGGGGAGGTAGAGGGGCTGGAAGGGACTGGAAACAGTATGCTCTGAGGGAGCTCTGCCTCCTTCATCCCTAGGACTTTGCCTGCCCCACCCCGACACCCCATAAGGGCCAGTTTTCTCTGCAGCCAGCACTTTGGAAATGAAGAGGAGGGGTGTCATTGTATAGAATTGAGCTCTGTCTGGCTCCCAGAAAAGAACCTGTGAACAAAGAAGTCAAACCCCCCCCCACCTTGTGGCCCGCTTGCTTTCAGGGAGGCACTCCAGGGGGATGCTAGGAAAGAGGCCGCCAAGGTGGGGTCCCAGCTACAGTCGTGCCCCCTTGTTCCTCCGGCCCGGGTTAGACTCAACCAGGAGTCCTCAGCTGTGGCCTTCCTGCTCTGGTCCATTCTGTAGCCTCTGTTACACAACCCTCTCCCCCTCCAATTCCAAAAGCAAAACAAAATAAACTCTCAACCGCTCAGATGTTAAAAAAGAAACTGCTTACAAGACCCACCTTCAACTTCAAAGGAAGAGAGGGGGACTTGTTAATTTCTGTTCCACAATTGCCCTATATGCTGAGTGTCTGTACAGGAAGGTAGGCCTCTGAGCAGGGAGAGACCTTAATTAAGAAAGCTTGAGATGGGGTTATCCTCAAAACTTAGCCGCTCACTCAGACTTAGGCACAGGGACAGAGGGACACAGTCGCCAAAACCTGAAACTCACAGTCCAGGCACATAAGGCTCTGCAGCTAATGAACCGGCCTCTCCCACAGTGGTGGGGATGAGGCGAGAAAGAAAGGCAAAGTCAACCTTCCCCTAAACACAAATCCAAGAGGGGGCGCGAAAAGAAGCGAAATGGTGCCTCAAAGTGCCAAATGTAATAAAGCAGCCCTAAGCCAGGGTAATGATCAAATAATGGCGAATGAAACGTCTTCCTAGAAGGGGCCTCAGCCTCCGCCGGGAGAATAATTTTTCCTTCTTCAAAGCAGTCTGGAATAAACAAACGCATGCTAGAAAGCAAAAGGGGCCACGCGGTGCCGCTTCTTAAGGCGAGTGAGCACGCGGGAGTCCAGCCTGAACCCGGCTGTGAATTGTCTTCAGAATTCAGTCTAGGTGCTGAGCTGCAAAGGCGAGTTTAAACACGGGAAGCAGAACTGGCATGTACCTTTCCAACTTCGGACCCTGTTTTCAAACAAAGATCAAGGCCAGAACAAGTGCCTCCCGCCACCACCGCCAGGGTTCTGATAATCTTGTCCCTTCTGCGTCTGCAACTATGGGGGTTACTGGATGAAACTAATTCATTGCTTTGACTGAAACCCTGCTGACTGGTTCTTTGGGAATTCGGAGTGCGTTTCCCTTCGGTATTTTAGGCTCCAGACGTGCACAGTGCACAGCAGACCCTACCTCACTTCCTTCGCAACCCTGAGGAGAGTGGCAACTGGAATTCCTGGCCAGGCCCAGGTGCTTCTCTAGCAACCCCGCGCCACCCCAAATAACCAAATAAAACGACTGAGAAGTCTCCTGGCTGCCAAGAGTGGCCTTGGCTTATTTAGTTTTCTTTTCTTGAAGATTCAAATGGAAGTCAAAGGTTTTAGACAGTACATACTTCGATTTTCTTGTTTTTCCCTTTCTTTATTTTTTACATTAAACTTTTATGTCTCCTCATATGGTTTACAACGAAATTATCGGTTTCAAATATTGTGTGCGAGTAAGTCCTACAAGTTAGGCTCAAGAATGTGCATTCAATCCGTCCGTGTAACATCAGGGACTATTTTCAAGGTATGTGGTCTCTGGTCTCCCACCATGGGCTCCTGAGCTTTAGCCAAGACCAAGCTAAATTGACATCCACCTAAGTCTTACACGGAAGATAAAAAGAATAATCAACTATCGGAGAAAGATCTGTTTCTGTATATTTTGTTTCCCCTCCTAAGGCTTTCATTTGCCACGATTACAGTAAATTGGGTTTTCTTCTTGTTTTGTTTCATATATTCTGGTTACATCACCTCTTCCAAACGCAGGAAGGAAAAGAAGAGAGAAAAGGAAAGAGAAAAGAAAAAGCAGCTAAGTTTCCCCTAGATGATTGCACCGCAGGAGTCACCAGCCACCTCTGCCACGCGCTGTTCGGCAAAAGGAAATAGCGCTTTAAAATACAAAAATCTCTAGTTTTGCTATGATTTCCTTTATTGCCCAGAATGTAGCTGGAACACAGCGCGAGCAGCGCCGGTGTTTCAGGAAGGCAGCTGCAGTAGCAAAGCCCGGCTAGTGGGAACCTGAGGCTCAGCAGAAGTTCCTAAGGCTGGGTCCTGCTCTCTGGGAGCACATGGGCATCCTTAGCCACAGGAGACAAAAATCAATGTGTCTCACGTGCGGTGACTGACAAGTCCCATCAGATCAGAAATGAGGCCCGGCCTCTCAAGGCTGAGTGGGCTGCGTGGTGTACAGCTTGCTTACTAATTAAAACAGCTAGGGCGCGGGGAGGGGGTGCTTAAGAAAATTCGAAGGATTTTGCGTTCTGCTTTCGCTTCGTAGGATGCCGGGCAACCAGACACTGTGCAAAGCCTTGGGCTTTTATTTCACAACTTACTGCTCAGTTGAACCGATCTTCCTGCCTCCTCTCAAACACACACACACACACACACACACACACACACACACACACACACATAAAACCTAACCTTTGAAGTCTTAAAGCCATCAAGCATGTGTTCATTTATTATCTCTCGGATGAAAATTAAAAAAAAAAGACATAGAGCTCAGTGAAAAGCCAACAGGAAAAATACAGTTCCGCTGGCGCACTTTACACCGTTGCAACGAAGTGAAAAGAGCGGTGGTAACAGAGAAGAAGCAGGCTGCCTTGATAAGGCGGCCGGCCCTGAATTTAGGTTGATTCTTACGACCTGAGTTCCGAGGGGAAAGATGACACTAGGGAGTGTGTGAGTTCGGAATAGCTGAAGCTCTGGAATGGCTTGGGAGGCCGGCGTCTCGCCCGGCAACTCATTGGAGTCTCCAACGCAGTGCGCTGAGGAGGCTGAGACTGTGGCCGGTGCCGCGGTGCGGCGATGCGCCCCGTGTGCCGTAGGGAGTCGCTTGGGGACTTCGCTGGGGAAAAACAGACTACCCACGTACCATCTCTCGCCTCTCTGGTCCGAAACAAAACAATTAGAGAGCTCGGTATTCCGTAAATCCAAGTGTGAGAGCCAAGGGCGGCCTGGCCGGTCCCCTCCCGTAGCAGCTCTGACAACGAGGGAGAATGCTGCAGACTGCCCTCCGTGTCCCCTTCGACGCAGAGCAGATTTTGAACACACCCAGCCTGGTCACCTATTAGCCCAAGCTAGGCAGCGCTTCCCATCCTACCCTATGTCAGAGTGTCACCCAAGCCCTTCGCTGAAAGAGTGGGGGTGGGGAGGATGGGAGTTCCGTCTCCCCTGGCCCAAAACCCCACTGCCTAGTCTGGCGTGACCGAGGCTGCTCCTTTCCGGTCAGGGAGAGGGCGCCGGGGAGAATGAGTGACCTGGGACCCCGACTGCATCCAGCAAGAGAGCCGCAGGCTGAGCTGCGCCCTCTCGGCGGCCCCAAGTTCCGACAGCCCGCCCCCTGGGGGTCACTCGGCGCCCTGCCAGCCCGGGGTTCTCGGATCGGAGCGCGCCCTCCCGGCCTTGTCTGCACCGCCTTCGCGGCTGGCTGCTTGCCCTCCACGCCAGGGCCTGGGAGCGCTGGCGCAGCCTCCTCTCTCCCCACCTGCCGAGTGGATCTGCGGAACCCGATGCTCGGTGCTGCCAGTGCTACCCCACATCCAGCCCCAGGACCACGGCCCCCCTCTGTCTCCTCTTTCCCCCGGCTCTGGCCGCGCAGCTCACGCCGCCGCGCCGTAGGACCGAGCGCACAGCGCCCACTACCGCAGCCGCCGCTAGGCGCAGCCCGCTCGCCCGGCGCAACTTGCAAGCGGCTGCCTCGCAACTTTTCCCAACTCCACCGCGGCAGCCAGCTGCTGCTGCTGCCGCCGCCACCGCGGCTCCCTCGGAGCCCGCCACCCATTTCGAACCCCAGAAACAAACCGAGACTCCAAAAAGCGCCCTTCCCCTACCCGCTCCCCCCCCCACCCCGGCTCCCTCCCTCCTCCCGCTCCGGGGACTAGCTGGTTGGCCAGAGGCGACTCTCCCCCGCCTGGGGGGAAGGGAGGGGAGGGGGACACACTCTCCTTCCCCCCCCCCACCCCTTCACGTTCACTCTCGCGCGCTCTCCTCCCTCCCACCCAGCTTTTTGCTGCCCCCACCCCCACCCGGGAATTGCCACAGCTGGTCCTGGTGCGGGACTTAGGGCTACCGTGGCTCCTCCGCACCAAGAGCAAGAGCCAGGGCACGAAGGCTAGAATCGGCAGGTTGCTCGGGCTGCAGGCTACGCTGTGCTTGCCTTTTACCCGGGGCCCCGCGCCAAAGCAGCCCGCGCTCTCTCCCCGAGCGCTAGAGACAGATATGCAAGATGGCAGAGGAGGGGGAAAAGCCAATAGAAAAGGGATATTGCACCTACTTGTGGCCAGTTTCCTTGCCCTGCCTTTGGATCTCATGCTGTGCCCAGTCCTGCAGTCGCTGCTGGGTGGTTGGTTTTTTTTCTTGGATCTTTTCCTTCTTTTGGTCTCTCTCCCTCCTCTCTCTCTCTCTCTCTCTCTCTCTCTCTCTCTCTCTCTCTCTCTCTCTCTCTCTTTCCCCTCTGTGTGTATGTGTGTGTCACGCACGCACACACACTTCCACACTCCGTCTTTCACTCTCTCTCCCTCCCTCTCTCTCTTTCTCTCAATCCACACTCGCTATCTCTAGCATTGTCAGTTTGGACACCTTCGCACATGCGCGCTAGACGCCCCTCCAACATCTCAACGCCGCCAAAAAAAGTTTGGAGCGATTTATCACTTTGATTTGGAGATCTTGTCAGATGGCAATCGCCGAGGAGGCGGAGAAAGGGAGCTACGGGGAGGGCGGCAGGGGGCGGGGAGCGAGAGCGGGGAGCTGGAGGGAAGCAGACACCTCGCCCAAAGGAAAAAAGAAAAAAATAAAAGAAATGAAAAGTCTTGGACAGAGAATTGATTCGTGGGACAGAGAAGTATGTCTGTGTGGGAGTCAACAATAAGCCTTATTATAATTATTATTAATGTTTTCTCCGCCATAAATTACATTGTCTATAAGGGAAACAAGAGAGGAGGAGGAGGAGAAAAACTTCAGGATAAATCTTTCCCTCTACAAAAGAACTAGGTTGAGGGCTGGACCGTGAACGCATTATCCCGGAGAAGACGAGAAGCATCTTGAACTTGAGAGAGCTGCTCTTGCTGTTGCTCTCCTGCTGAAGTTCCTGGGCTTCCGCTTTGGATGAATAACCGTTTCTCGATTTTAGCTGTAGCACCAACGGTAGCTGCTATCCTTGGAACATTTCAGCAGTCTGTTCCCATCAAGTAGCAACAATTGCCCTTCATTCCCAGGTCCCGGCGGGCTCGGACGTTTGACATCCAAGACCTCCTGCCTCGCCTAAGGTCGGCCGTCACCTTCCGGCCTCCTGCTGCAGCGCAGCCCGCCTGCCATTTCCACTCACTCTCTGAAACCTACAACCTCTGGGGTCACCAGAAGGAGGAAGAGGGGAAATTCCACTCGCATACCTAGAAAATACAAAAAGTACATTGTTGAAACGTGCTTTAATTACAGAATTACTAATGAAGTTGTGCGGGCAGAAATGAGGACGCAAGGGGTTAGGTGTGTTCAAGGTATGAATCACTCCCAACTCAGTATGGATTTTTTCTCTTGATACAACCTTGCATTAAACAGTTGTGCTCAATACCTTCCACGTGCTATTTATGTCTCTATTAAAATCTGCTGCAAATCCTGCCAGACACTATAAAAGAAAATTGCAATCTTTTCTGTGTCCGTGCTGCAACAGCTCTCAAGTCAGAGCAAACCGGCAAGGAAAGCTGGTCCTGGGCTTCAGGTCTGATAGAGAAGTGGGGGCGGGGGGGGGGGGAGGACAAGTGGGTTTGTTGAGAACACTCCGTTGCACCTGTTGGTATTCATTTTGTCTAAGCTAGGACTGGAGTCGTGAGAGACCTACCTAACATCTAGGTTCAATTTTGATGGGCTTTGGGGGACCAGAACCAAAGCTTACAGGACCTATCCCAACTAAAGATGCTTACCACCTCTCCTTCTGCAGATCCGTGTAATTCCAGGGGCGTCCAGCTGTAAAATACAGGTCCCTGGAGAGCCAAGCTACAGCTCCCAAGGGAGCATCCCAAGATGTGCGACCTTGAAATAGGAGGAAGAAAAAGAGGAGGTAAAGGAGGAGATGACAGAGAACGGGAGTGGAACAGCTTCCAGAGGAGAAAGTTCCGGTGTCCACATATAGGAACACCAGGGTCTGCCATCTCCCTTTCCCCCAAGAGGCGTCTGGGATTTTACCAGAGCTCCAGTTGCCTTGTGCACGCAGGTTGCATGCGTGTACTTTTAGTATGTGCAAAGGCCGTACGTGAGTCAACACAGGTCCACAACTCCAAAGACCCCCCAAATCTACTAGCTCCCCCTTCTAACCAGTAAATGTCCTTAGGGGGAAATAGAGGCGTGAGCGTGAGACTCCCTGGAGGGAACAAATTCTCTAGGGAAACATACTAGGCTGACCAGCAAGGAGTTCATGCAGCAGCTTCTTGTCTATAAGAGACTTTGAGGGGGTATCCTCAGTTAGGTAGAAGACAGAGGACAGCCCAAGAGGATCCCAGCGGTCAGAATCTAGAGGTGTTTGGGCCTCCCTGAAAGTAGGTGGAATTCTCCAGGGCCTGGCACCTAGGGCCAGCACAGTATCCTGGACTGGGATATTTCATTTCACTGGACACTCTGTGGAGATTAAAGGAAGAACGGATGTGGGCAGCAGTCACCCTTCTCACTTCCCTACAGGTTCCCTTCACCTGGACCCTAGGGAGTCTGCCAACACCTGGGTTAGATCTGCTGGAATTTTCTAAGAAAAGAAGGGACCATGTTGCCAAACTCTGAGGTTAAAAATAAGACCCACTTGGACACTGAACTTTTATTTTACGCTGAGAAAGTACAAATCGTGGGGTTGACTATAAGAAAGGATGGTTTCAGTCAAGAGCAATAGATAGAGGCTGAAAGACAGGGCCGAATCTAAAGTATCTGAATCTCCAGATGTAAAGCTATCGGTCTTTTAAACTTTTACAGAAGGTTGAGGGACCAGAGCAATGGAAACCAGCTGGGGGTGTCGACCTCCTCTGGTGTTTAAGCCCCCCTTCCCGTCTTTCAGTGTGCCAGTCTTTCTCAAAGATCTTTCTAAAGTTTCGGCAGAAGTGGTTCTTCTAACTGAGGTAGCAAACACAGTCTTTTGTGTCCCCAAGCCAAGTCACTGTGAGAAGACAGAGTGCCACCATTCTTCAAAACAAATTTAAAAATAAAAAAACCTAAATGAATAAACTAATAAATCGAAGTAGTCACAATATCAATTTTAAGTTTTTCAAACTTCAAAGCTGGTTTCTTTTCCTTTTTCTCTCCCTTTCTTTTCTTTCCCCGTCTCTTGTTTCCTGCCCTACGTGTGCAGTAATAAAAGAACTAAGTTGCTAGTTCAAATGTGTTCAACCTGATGGAGCAAATGCCCCTCAGGCGGCTTCGCACCACTGCCTGCTGCCTGCTACTCGGTGGTCCCCAAGGCTGCCCCAGCGGGTTCCCATTCTAAAGCTCCTGGCCCCTGTCAGTTCCACCTGTCCCAGTCCCAGGCGTGAGATCACAGCAGGTGACTTTCTGTTGTGGCCTCGGGAGTTGCTAGCACCTTCTAACCTGAGACCTAAGCCGCCCTAGGCTCAAGAGGGATGGAGGGTGGGGCGGTGGGGTCGCCCGCGACAAATTGATGAAGGTGAAGCTGCTTTCTCTGACCCTGCAAACGCACCAACCAGCCTTTTCTTCTCCTCGAATTCGTTTCCTGGGGGGGCAGCCGCACGGGACCTAAGTTTTTCTTGCCTTTTCTTCCAGGGAAGCTGGCATCCTGAAAGCAGTGACTCCTTGGAAAAATCTATGAGCTTGCTTTTTGGGGTTGCTGAGAGAGAGAGAGAGAGAGAGAGAGAGAGAGAGAGAGAGAGAGAGAGAGTTGTTTCTTTGTTTTTCTGAGCATAAGTGGGGAGACAGAAGTGGAAATTGAAAGGAAGATAGGTTATCGAAAAGCAAGAAACAGGCTACTATACCTTTTCTCAACAGTTTCTTTAATTTATGCCAGCAACACTGAGGAGCCGATTTTCAACACAGTACATTGCCACCGGAAATTTTCCTTTCCTTTCCTGGCACAATAACTGAGCCAGCCCCAGTACCTTTGGAAGAAAGTTTGAATTCTTTACGGAGGTATTTCTTGGCCTATTGTCTTTGTGCAGTGAACTTTACGTGCTATTGAATGCAACCTATATTCGCCCGGCTACCAGCAAGATTAATTTAATCATTGTAATGTAATTATTAATACTGTTTACCCAACGCTGGGTTTCAGGTTGGCTGTTAAGAAATTAAACTCTCGCTGGGTGACCAGAGGTAGGCAGGAGTTTCTTCATGTTGAAATGAAACAGTTCTCTTTATTTAGTCTCAGAGTCCAGCTTTCGGCCAGGGGCTCAATTAGCCAAAATGGAAACAATTTTCATTCATTGCAATAACTCACTTGTTCTGGGGATCGCTTTCAAAATATACACTTTATTATTATACGCTGACCTCGGTGGCGTGGGGTGGCAATAAAAGAAAGAGGCAGGGAGATCTATCTAGCCCCCTTGGGCTATAATTATTAGAAATTAATTGGGTTCAGGACCCTGGGTAGCCTAGCTAAATTAATAGCTTGTCTAGTGGTTTAAATCCGAATTTTCAGTCCACAGGAGAGAAAGGGAGAGCGTCACAGACATGAAATGCAGACCCAAGGGACGCCTGAGTTTACTTGCAAGACACTCATCTATTAAACAGTGTCCAGAATACATTGGAGCTGGGGAGAGGGGGCGGGAGCGACCAGAAAGAAGAAAGGAGTCAAGACCAGGAGGGAGGCTGAGAGTGTACAGAAAGGTCTCGAGTTGATTTTATTCGATTTTTCTTGTCTGCATTGTTTTCGGGAGGGGTTGCATTTAGGGGTTAAAATCAAAAATAAAGATCCCGTGCACTCGGAGCTGTCGCGCTGGAGTAAAAGTGAAAAGGGAGCCTTAGGCAAAAGGAAATTACTGCGAGCCCGCGTGACCTTTCAGGGAGGTAATCAATCAAGTGATCAACAGGGATATTTATCATCGCTATATAGGACGACTTCGGCCCGCAAGGGCGGGGTGGGGGTGGAGGGGGAGCAGGAGAGGGTGGAGACACGCGCACGTTCACACACTCGCGAAAGTTTGAACAAACCCGATGAGCCTCAAAACAGGACACGTAGGCTTTCGGAAATGTCCAGACTCCTGGTTCTGTTTGACTCTCGCCTTCGTCTGTGTAGGCAGAGGCCCCGGGCTAACATCCCCGACCTCAGCCCGTTATGCAAAGGTGTTAACTCTCAACCGCCCGTCCCGCTTGGCCTTGAACACCAAGCTGCTGGCTGGGAATCCGCGGTGCGCGCCGCTTCGAGGCTCGAGCGCCGCGCCAGCTCGGCTTTCCCCTGGATATGGCCAGCTGCGTGAGGATGCGGGGTCGCCCCTCCCGGCCGCACGCAAACCCCGCGCCCCACAGTCTCCTCTTCCTGCGAAATCCTCGTTCTGCGCTGCAGCCGGATCGCGCCTAGCTGCAAGGGGGCCGGGGGCGAGTACACAAGGAGGCAATCAGCGGCCTTGGCTGTCCAGCCACCTCCTCCACCTTGTAAAAAAAAAATCTCCCTTTTGTAAATTGCGTTTCTGATTCCAGGTTTCTTAGCAAACTGATTCTGCCCCATCTCACTAGTCTGCAAACATCCACCTGCCCCCAATTCCAGAAGCCTACAAAACGGATGCTGGTTTATAGGAAAATGCGGTGCTGAGTTTGAATGGTCAGTGCATCACCCCGAACCTCCCAGGTCCCTCAGTCAGCTCCGGAATGATAATCGGTTCTTTCTCAGAGCAAGCCGGCGGAGACTACTGGCCCTCGAGGCTGGAAGCTGTGTACCGAAGGGCCACGGGTCGAGGGTACACGCGCTGCCTCCTGGGTGTGATCCCCGCCTCACGCGGTGCCTGGTCGCCCCAGAGTGGCTCAGAGGCCGCGTGGGTTGGCAGCCCACGAGGAGCTCGCGCTCCCCCGCGCGTTTCTCCGCGGCCCTTTCAGAGCTCCGGGTGCCCAGCGCGGTTTCCTCCCGTACAGCCTAGTCTGCGGCGCCCCCGCCTGGCTTTCCCCGCCGCCGCAGCCCCGAAGCTCCAGCCACGAAGGGCTCCAGCTGTGCACAGTAGCTGCCTAGGCGTGGGGGTGGGAAACAGCTGGGGCGCCCCAGGGAAGCGCGAGTTGGGGTGGGAAGGAGCCCAGCAAGGAGGATTATGAGTGGAGCAACTCCCGGAGCTGCTACTGGCTTAGGATCAGGAGGAACTGCTATACGGGGGCACAAATCTCTCTGTCCCAGGAGGTATGGAGCCCCAGAAGGAAGCCAGACTGTTGGCGTGCAATGCCAGAAGCCTTCTTTAGATCCTTGCCCTGAACAAAGAACCTTCTAGAAGGATGTTGCCAAAGTTTAACGTGCGCGCGAATCACCTGGGAGATCTTGTTAATATGCAGATTGGGATGCAGGAAGTCGGTGGTGTAGCTCCTGCACTCTGTGTTTCTGAGCTTACTTGCAGGTTATGCGGATGCTCCTGGAAGCCCAGCATTGCCTGGAACTTTTAGACTCAAAATCTCAGGCCCGGGTTAGACCTACCAACTCGCAAAGGCATTTTCCCAGGCGAGTCCCGGAAACAGAGTTGGAGAAACATCCCTCTGAAAGTGTCTAGCCGAGTTTTCTGTCTGGTTAGATCAGGGTACTTCTGCAGCCCAACCCCCTTTTCCTGCCTTCATCGCGGGGAGGGGGGTTGTCTAAACCTATTCATTTAAAACCCACACCTCCTCTGGCCTTTGTAGAAATCACTCGTCGCCCAGTTTTGTTGACCTTTGGGTCTTAGAGGCCAAAGGCCTCTGGAGAGGTTTCCAGGATTTCTGTCTGATGGGCAGCGCCCCCCCCCACTTTTTCCTTTGCCCCCTATTTTTCTGTCGTCTCTCTGACTTTTATCCCCCTCTTACGGTTTTTGTTTATGCATCCTTCTTCCCCTCTTAGTTCTGGGCATCCTGAAGACTGCGCCTTAAATGGACCAAAGTTTGAATTTTTCATCTGCAGCGTGGACTTGAGCCACTCTCCCTGTGTGCCCATGCTTGCTATGGCTAAAAGATAGCAATATTCAGACTTCAGGGCATTGTAACTGAGATAAATCCTCAGCCAGCAAGATAGATGTTTAAGGTGTTTGTTTGTTTACTTGTTTTGATTTAAGGAATAAAGTCACACTATGTAGCCCTGGCTGGCCCAGAACTCAGAGAAATTCCCTTCCTTTGCCTTCTAAGTGCCAAGATAAAAGGTGACAAACACCACACCCTGTGAATTTTAAGATTTTTAAGAGTTAATCTATTGAAGATTCAAATGTCCCTGCTCCATTTTAATCAACTGAGTGAATGAATTTAGACAGATAACCGAGTTTCTCTGTGTCCCCCATAATAACTGGAACTACTTATAGTTCCAAATTCTGATGTTCTGAAAGTTAGAATAGACAAGGCTTCATGTGTGTGTGTGTGTGTGTGTGTGTGTGTGTGTGCACGAGAGTGTGCATGTGTGTGTGTATGTGAGTGTGTGTGTGTGTGTGGTCTTGAGCTCTGTCTTTCTCATTCACAGCTGCAATGGGATATTCTCCCCCCTCTGGTCAGTCGGCTGTCTCTGCAAATAACGGAACCCAAGGGTGTGATGTGTATGAAATTGCTGTAACTGGATCTTCACCGTAACCTTGCAGCTTTGAATGGGCACCAGTGTGTGGATGGGTTTGGGTTACACAGTTTTAAAAGATGCTTGTGTCCGTGAGTCCTGACAAATCAGTCCCTAACACCAAGCTACTGTCAATATGTATCACCAAAGAGGGTCCAGACCGTCCCCAGACAGGCTGGCCCAGCAGAGCCCAGCACAACAGAAAGATGCCTCTCTCTTCCCTGGCCGCACAACACAACTTTCAAAAAGGTTATTTCAAGATGTCTACAGTCCCCAGTTACCCTGTTCTGTGAGTTGAAAGCCACAGAGGAATTCCACCAGAAAGCGATTTTTAGCAAAGTTCTTTCTCTTTCATCCTTTTTGAAATCCTTTTCTGTTTCCTCAGCATTTTTCACCTTAACTCTCCACAGCTCTGGCTGCTGCCTTTACTCTCAATACATGAAATCACTGAGGTTAGTTCACTGCCAGGAGATAGGAGATTTGTTATAT